GTGTACTGATGCCACATTGGGAAGGCGAAATGCCCGTGCGATTAGGGGGGATGCTGTGTGTCAAACGCCTCCCTGGGCTAAGTTGTATTTTGCACGTTTGCTTTAGTTATGCTGCTCCTTTACATTTGCAAGTATTTATCAAATGATTTGTCTTGCTCGGGTCTGCAGCTTGGCTTCTTGTAAAGCTCCCAATGCATCCTCACGGAGCAGGCTGAATGTGAAACTCTGAGATGGCACGTGCAGGCCTACGATAGCTCACCAGACACCACTGCCATTATATAAACAGATCAGAGACGCATTATCAGCCCGAGTCGGCACCAGGTCAAAGTCAGACCATAGGGCGGTGCAGCGGCGCAAACTGCACGTGGCGGGCTATCGCAGGGCTGTTTATTCGCGCCGCTATTTATGTAGCGGCCACGCGGCACCTGAATACATTTGAATGGCTGGGTGGCTGGTAGTAGTGAATGGCGGCGACAGATCGACGGCGTGTTTGGTTTGTATATAGATGCTAGGTATCGAACCAGCAGCTGGTGAGGTACCGCAAAGACACACTCGAAGCGCGTGCTCGGGCTGGTACCTATGGTGACATAGAACGTTCATATTTTTTTTTTTTTGAAAATAAACTAGTTCAATGTGTTAAAATGTGGCTGTCGCATTCATACTTTTCGTCTGGCATCCATTAATTTCCTTCGTGTACCTATTAGGGAGGGACGATGAATGTTTTTCGTGGGCTTTATAGAATGGCGATAGTGAGTGTTAATTTCTGACAAATCTAGCATGGGGTCCACGGTGTCGCGTCGTCTTTGGATTGATCCCTGGGCTGGGAGGCAGCTATCCGACTTTGTTGGCTCAATTAACTGGCGAGGGTCAGGACGTGACTGACGGGTCACACTACCAGAACTGGCCCCGAGCTAGCTGTTAGGAGGTCCTCAGGTGTCGCACTATTGAACACACCCAGTTCATTCAGAGTATTTCTACACAGCCCGGCGCACAGGACAAAAACAGCAGAATACGGGCCTGGCCCATAGATACTGTCCTGAGCCTCAGAATCCTCCCAGAGCGCGCCGGCGCTCTGCACCTCCCAGTTTTGGTCAGACATTACATACATCTCCTGAAGATGGTTGATTCGCTCAGATATGCAGCATTCCGTCCTCTCCACTGGCCCTTCCGTGGTTCTCCAATTCAACATATTTTACTTCCCTCTGGTCCCCGCAGCCCTCCAATCCAAAACAGTTCCTTGTCTCGCACTGTTGCTCCGTGGCCCGGCAGTCCAGTCCACCCCCTTGCTCTGGTCCTGTCCTCGAGACCAGCATTCTTTCTGCTTCCGCCCTCCGTGGTCCTCCATGGTCCAGCCTGCCCTCCCCTCCCCGCCGGTCCTCCATGGTCCAGCCTGCCCTCCCGTCGGTCCTCCGTGGTCCTCCATGGTCCAGCCTGCCCTCCCCTCCCTGCCGGTCCTCCATGGTCCAGCCTGCCCTCCCGTCGGTCCTCCGTGGTCCTCCATGGTCCAGCCCGCCTCCCCTCCCGCCGGTCCTCCCTGCCGGTCCTCCATGGTCCAGCCTGCCCTCCCCTCCCCGGCGGTCCTCACGGGTCCCGTTGTATGCGACTCACCACCGGAATGCCTAATTCATTGACCACGTCTCGTATCCAGGCAGACGGCGTGCGTACAACGCGGGCCCGCGCCACACGCGCTGGATCACTGATTCTACGGAACGCGAATTGTGGGTGGTTTAGCTGCTCGACGTCGTGTGTTCAGAAACAGACGAAGTGTATGAGATATGATGAATCGCTCTTTTTGTAGTGATTTGATGGATTGCTCATACAAAACATAGTCCGTACAAATGGACGACGCTGACGGCTGGCACGGCTGTTTCTCAGGCGTAGACCTGTGTCGTAGCGGTGTGTGAGAGCGGCCCGCGGTGGCCTATATCGGCGTCCCGTTATATGGAAGGAAGGTGGGAGGCGATCGCGCGACGTGTGGACTCGGGGGGAAGGGGGATGGAGAGAGGGGGAGGAGAGGTGATGGAGAGAGGGGGTGCGGGCTGTGAACGATTGTGAGACAGGTAGAGAGGAAGAGAGAGATTAGTAATTCAGCAATGCAGAGAACGAAAATGAAATGGGGTGCATGATACAGGAGAAAGCTGACTAAGTTTTTTTTTTTCTTATAAGACCCAAGTAATACGTTGATAAGTATGCCATTGTTACTGATTCGTGACAAGGAATATTGCCAGAGATGCTCTTTTGCCAGCCAAATGTAGGGGAAGTGCTATGAGACTGAGAGATGGATGAAATACTCTGAGTCATTTCCGGCTGGGGGTCCTGGATTTCCACGCCCTGCTGGGGGGGGGGTGTTTGAACACCCCCCCCCCCCTTCTAACTCGGCTCCTGGGCCACGTAGCGATACGCGGAAGGCGGCGTTCGAAAGAGCGTCAAAAATAATGACGAAATCACTTTGGTCAATTTTTTGGTCAGGTCAAAGGTCAGGTCACCAGAGGTCATTGAAGGCAAAATTTCGCCGATTTCCAGGTCGAATGTCGACAATTTCCAAGAACCCAACGCATAACTCGGGAACCAATAGAGCTACAGCGCCACGGAAAAGCGCATTCGATAGCCCTATTAACGCCCTTTCTGAGTAATTCTCTCAGATTTGATCTAACGTCAACGGTTTTGCCTGCAGGGGGCAAAAACTGCAAAAATAGCCGATTTTTTCGGAAACAGTTTTTCTGCAATAACTTTTGACCCAAGCCTTGTACGAGCTTACTTTTACCGGCATCGTGTTCCTCTTGTCAAGACGCATCGAATGAACTATAACTTGACCTTGAAAGGTCAACTTGAAAATTTGACCTCAGGTCAAGGTCATGACCTGACCGGAAAGGGTCATGTTGCATATCAGTCGATCCGTATCGTCGAGCTGAACACATCTAAGGCGTTTTCATCGCTCTAGCATGCCTCTATCAAAAGTTATTTGCGAAAAACTGTTAGATACCATTCGTGACCTAAGATGACCTCAGGGCATAAACAGGGGTCACGGACACCATTTTCATGTTCAGTGTGTCTAAACCACTTGTAATTCAGTGTTTGGGAGTGTTTATAATGTCTTTCGTTCAAAGGAGGCGCATTTCAATTTTCTCCCATTGACTTATAATGGGGAGGTCGCAAAATTGACCTGACCTTAGGTCATCGATATCAAAATTCTGAGATATACATTTTGTACATGCTATTGCTCTTAGCAATCGCTGAAAGTTTCAAAGCGATCGGTCACTCGGTGTAGCTATGACAGGCATTGAAACTTTTTATGAGGTGAGGTCACTTCAAGTGACCTGGTGACCTGACCTTGAATGACCTTGGTCTGAAATTTTCACAACATGTGTAGAATTGATGTATGATAAGGTGTACCAAAAACGGCGGCGCTTCGCGCCGCCGTTTTTGAGATATTCGCGAAAAACCACAAGGGGGGGGGGTGTTCAAACACCCCCCCCCAGCAGGGCGCGGGTTAACCAATGTTAATGTACATAGTACATACGTAAGCGAGCTGACGTTTAGAAACTACTCCCGCATCACCAAACGTACAGGAGACAATAGTTGTCCCTAGTGTGAGGTGCTATTAGAATACTATTGTCATCACACAAGGGTCATGCTGCTCTTATGCTGGTTGCGGCTTTTCATTTGACCCACGCGAATGGCTCCCTCTGATTGAATGGCTCACTTTGATGGGTGAATGATCGTTTATTCAAGAGCACATGAGTGAGACCCCTGTGAACATCTGATAGCACGTGTATTGAGTCTGATAAGGGTCCTCCAAGCTGTCTGCTGTGTTCGGTAACTGACCTACTGTGGGATGTTTGGGTACATGTTGTGTTTGGGCGAGGATAATTCCGTATGCTTCTTGGCGTTGTCACCCCGACTCCCCCACCCCCTAATTGTCATGCACCTGTCACCGGTGGGCGGTGGGGAGCACCCACCATTCCCCCCCCCCACACACACACACACTTATTGTGAGGCATCGTATCAATTTATCTACCTACCTTCTGTCGGGCGTGTGGTCTCGATCCCGGCACAAACCGGCTGCTCTACTGTCACCATTTCTCAGACGTGAAGGCACGTCCCTCCCCCTCCCCTCACAGATGACCCGCTGGTCAGCGGCTAACTGTTCCCCGCCGGGAGGCGACATGTATGCTAACGCAGACGTGAGAGAATGCGGAGTTAAAACACACGGAGTTTGTACTAGCTTTGGCGGTAAAACTGCTCTCTTGCCCCTCACAACTGATTTCTAGCCACGACCAACGTCATAACCACTTGTAGACAATTTGGAAGCGTTACTATTGGTTTCTGAATCCTTCCTAAGCTAATTACTAAACCCTGGCTGTGTGGTCGGCACGTTCGTTGATGATCCGTATGTGCGAGACATTGCTGAGATCCAGCCGCGTCACTGACCGCTAACCGTCCCTCCCTCCATCTGTCATTACAGACGCTCCGCAGTCCGCAGTCTGCTGGGCCCCAATAGTCACAAAGGCACGTTAGTCTGGTCTCGGAGATTGACTCACTGTCCCTCTCTATTCACAGACTTTCCGCAGTCTGCTGGGCCCCAATAGTCATATAGGCACGTTAGTCTGGTCTCGGAGATTGACTAACTATCCCTCTTTGTTCACAGACTTTACGCAGTCTGCTGGGCCCCAATAATCACCTAGGCACGTTAGTCTGGTCTCGGAGATTGACTAACCATCCCTCCCTGTTCACAGACGTTCCGCAGTCTGCTGGGCCCCAACAGTCACCTAGGCACGTTAGTCTGGTCTGGGAGATTGACTAACTGTCCCTCTCTGTTCACAGACGTTCCGCAGTCTGCTGGGCCCGAACAGTCACATAGGCACGTTAGTCGGGTCCCGGAGATTGACTAACCATCCCTCTCTATTCACAGACGTTCCTCAGTCTGTTGGGCCCCAACAGTCACCTAGGCACGTTAGTCTGGTCCCGGAGATTGACTAACTATCCCTCTCTGTCCACAGACATTCCGCAGTCTGCTGGGTCCCAACAGTCACATAGGCACGTTCGCCAGTGGCTCGCTGGCCGGGGTGACGGCCGTGTTCTTCACGTATCCGCTGGACACGATCCGAGCGAGACTGGCCTTCCAGGTCACCGGGGAGCACAAGTACACCGGCATTCTGCACGTGGCCAGCTCTATAGTGAAGGAGGTGAGTACCCAGTACTGCACGAGTACACCGGCATACTGTACGTGGCCAGCTCTATAGTGAAGGAGGTGAGTACCCAGTACTGCACGAGTACACCGACATACTGCACGTGGCCAGCTGTATAGTGAAGGAGGTGAGTACCCAGTACTGCACAAGTACACCGGCATACTGCACGTGGCCAGCTCTATAGTGAAGGAGGTGAGTACCCAGTACTGCACAAGTACTCCGGCATACTGCACGTGGCCAGCTCTATAGTGAAGGAGGTGAGTAGTGAGTACCCAGTACTGCACAAGTACACCGGCATACTGCACGTGGCCAGCTCTTTAGTGAAGGAGGCGAGTACCGAGTACTGCACAAGTACACCGGCATACTGCACGTGGCCAGCTCTATAGTGAAGGAGGTGAGTACCCAGTACTGCACAAGTACACCGGCATACTGCACGTGGCCAGCTCTATAGTGAAGGAGGTGAGTAGTGAGTAGGGTGTGTCACTAATCGCAATGCAAGGTGCTCCATCGATTTTATTGTGCTCCACTCATGTGGAAAGGGCGTGGCATTGTTAATTTCCCGCAAATTTTAACCCCCAGGCGGCGCCGAGCGAGAGAAGTTTGCCCTATCTCACAACATAGGCGACCCTAGCGCCCCTGGCGGCTGTTTGCGAAACTAACAGGCCGTTGACTGTATGGGCTTATCCCTGCTTTCTGTAAGCGCGTCTAGGGACAAATAATAGTATGGGCAGATTGCAGAGAGTGCAAGCTAATGACGAATACCTATAATGAATACAATATATTGTCACAGGGGCCCAGGAACATTCTTCAAGTTGGGGTGCAAGCCCAAAATACCTGACATGACGCATATGAAATAGTAGCGTAGTCAGGGGGTCCCAGGAGGCACGTGCCATCTAGTCCCCCCCCCTATCGCATTCAGAGGACCCCTCGGGTCGGAGGGGCTCTGTGGCACCAGTTTACCGCTCAGGGTCTATGCTGGCCATATTTCGATTCAGAAAGAATAGGGCTCGTAACAGCACCTCGTGAGTCCAAAGAAGCCTCACTAAATTGTCCATGAGGGTTACACGCCGGCTTCTGAAGGCTACTGGCGGCCTCTGAGGGCCCTTTACCGGCCTCTTATGGCCGCTAGCGTGCCTCTGAGAGTCCTTGCCGGCCCAAGAGGGGCCATATCTAGGGCCTTACGCCAACCTGTAATCAGTAATGGCCTCACACCAATGTCTCAGACGGCCCCATTACGACGACTGTGAGACTGAGGGCCCTCACTGGTGCTTCTGAGAGCCCACCCGGCCATAAAGACCCCTGCGGTACCAACTGACCTCTGAGGGTCCACGCTGACTATATTTCAGCTGAGAAAGACCTCACAGGTCTCGTAAGAGCACCTCATGAGCCCCTAAGTAGCCACACTAAGATCTCCGTCAGGGTCTACGCCGGCTTCTGAGGATCCCATAACGGAGACCGTGAGGGCCCTCAGCAGGGCCTCTGAGGGTTCACAACCAGCACCTCTGAGAGACCCACACCAGTGGTTCTAAGGGCCCATAAGGACACCACTGAGGGTCCCCCAAGCCAGTGCCACACCATTTATGCAACCCTATATTGGTGGCTCTGGGGTACCCACACCTGCGCCAGTGAGGGTTCGGCAAAAGCATATCTGACGGCCACCTACCTGCAACTCTGAGGGCCCTACATCAGAGACTGAGGGCCGCACTGGCGTCTCAGAGTACCTTGTCGGTATCTAAGGGCCCCACAGGGCTTCTGAAGATGCCGCCGGCCTCTGTGGGCCCCTTGCCGGTCTGAGGTCCCCCTCCCCGGTCGTTGAGGGCCCCCTGCCGACTTTTAAAGGGTTCGCACCAGCAGCTCTAAGGGCCACACACCCACATGTAACGGACCCACACCAGTGTCTCTGAGGGTCCACAACGGCGTCTGTATTCTGTGAGGACCCTCACCGGTGCTTATGAGTGATTCACACTAGCACCTCTGAGGGGCCACACGGGCGTATGTGAGGACCCCACACCAGTGCCTCTAAAGGCCCCTAATTGGAGGCTCTGAAGGCCCTGCATCGGTGATACTGAGGGTCCTACCAAAGGCACAACACAAGCCATTAGTCTCCTTCTGAGTCCCACACGTCGCCCTCCCACCATAGGCGGCGGAACGGGGAGGGCACCGGGGCACCGTGCCCCCTCTGATTTGGGCATTTTAACATTAGCCCTATGGGCGTTGCATGGAAAGAATGGGACCAAAAGTCGGCAGTGTCCCCCCCCCCTCCCTCCACTTAATTGAAGGTGTTCCGCCGCTACTGCCTCCCACCGGAGCGAGTAAACCTGTATCAATCAACGACTTTACCACCGTTGTACGTCATAATGTTCTCATCACGCCAAATCAAATACCATCCGGAACCAAAATGGTCCAGTATAAAATCTGACCTACCAAAGTTATGATCAAGTTCAGATAAAATCAAAGTGGGATGATAATAGCAGGTGTTCTTAAATCGATGCCGAGTCAGCAGAAACCATTCACTTCACATGCAAGAGAAATACCTTGTGCTGATGTCTATATAAAAACAGACATGTAGGTCCATAAAAGGGTCCATAAAAAGTCCATAAAAAATAAAGAGATCCTTCATCGTTGCATCAATGTTGAGGGGGCGGCGCCCTCTCGGCTCTCAAGTTGGAGGGGGGGGGGCAAGCGCCCCCACTGCCCCCCCCCCTGTTCCCCGGGGTCTATGCAGTGAACGACGCTACAAAAAAAAAACATGTGACACCTAATAGCAGGCACTATAAACATGCGCTCGTACGTATCCCGTCAGACCAGGACGGGGATCGGGGGTAGTACTATGCAATATACATTAACACAGAACTATTTCGTGCTTTAAGATGCATAACATCACATTTTCACCAACATTCTGAGTGCCAGACAAGCCAACAGCAAGGCGTCATTTCGGTAAAATGCATTTAATGATGATCGTAAGCTCACAAAGCATAGCGGGCGTGTTAGTTCAAAACATTGCCGCTAGGGGCGCTGAGGTCGCTAATGCTGAGAGATAGGCCAAAGTGTCGGCGGTCGGCGCCGCATGGGTGTTAATATTTGGGGGAAATAAAAAATGTCACACGGTTTCTACGTGTCTGGGGCACGATAAAATCAGTGGAGCACCATGTTTTGCGAAAAAAGTGCCCAAAATGACACACCCTAGTAGTGAGTACCCAGTACTGCACAAGTACACCGGCATACTGCACGTGGCCAGCTCTATAGTGAAGGAGGTGAGTACCCAGTACTGCACAAGTACACCGGCATACTGCACGTGGCCAGCTCTATAGTGAAGGAGGTGAGTACCTGCAGCACTGCACAAGTACGCCGGCATTCTGCACGTGGCCAGCTCTATAGTGAAGGAGGTGAGTACCCAGTACTTACCGAGGACATGCCGTGTAACTGTCTACTGTCCGGTAGGTGGCATTCATTAAAGGGACTATCCCACCTTTAACATGGGGTTTGAGTTGAGATAGCCAAGTTTGCGGCGAGGTTCAGAAACCACTTTCTATCTAGGTTGCAACCCCCGCGGCCTCTTGGTGTTGAAGAAATTCGTTCCCTTCATTTGAAAATGGGCCTTGTACAAGGCCCTATCTTCAACATGGAGCGACCGTTAGTGTGACGTCACCTCGTTTAGTCATTCTGATTTAAATGGGTTTGTTCGTTGAAAAATCGCTTAAAACTTGGTCTGAACTTTGTTGTGGTGCCTACAGAGTAAAAAGAATCAGCTTTATGACAGTAATGTGGCCTGGGGACGGAGGTAATTTTGGGCTGTGACGTCACATATTTGAAAGTTTGTGTTTGAAATATGGGAAGCCTAAGATGTTTAATGAAAAATAAATGCCAGAACCGTGTTCCTGGTCATCCAATCTATAAAGTCGGGCACAATTTAACTGGTTTTAACAACATTTTAGAAGGTGGGATAGTCCCTTTAACTCGTTCATTCATTTACTTATTCGCTCACTCGCCCATTTTTCATGTATGTATTGATTCATTCATACGGGTTAGCTTACTGATCAGGTGCAATCAAAAGCGACTTAATTCATCTAATGAATACTTGTTCCTGTCGCGGATGTCTTCAGTGATCGATCGAATACATGTTTGTTGAACTGAGTGTTGTCTGTCTGTCTGTATGTCTGTCTGTCTGTCTGTCTGTCTGACTGTGTTTGTCTGTCTGTCTGTGTGACTGTCTGTCTGTCTGTCTGTCTCTCTGCCTCTGTCTGTTTCCAGGAGGGCGGCCCGCGCGCCCTCTACCGCCGGTTTGCCGCCACCATGTGTGTCTGTCTCTCTGTCTGACTATGGGGCTGACTGTATGTCTGTCTCCCCGCCACCAGGAGGGCGGCCCGCGCGCCCTCTACCGCCGGTTCGCCGCCACCATGTGTCTGTCTGTCTGTCTGTCTGTCTGTCTGTCTGTCTGTCTCTCTGTCTGTCTGTCTGTCTGTGTGACTGACTGTATGTCTGACTGTATGTCTGTCTCCCCGTCACCAGGAGGGCGGCCCGCGCGCCCTCTACCGCGGGTTCGCCGCCACCATGTGTCTGTCTCTCTGACTGTCTGTCTGTCTGTCTGTCTGTCTGTCTGTCTGTCTGTCTGTGTGACTGACTGTATGTCTGTCTGTCTGTCTGTCTGTGTGACTGACTGTCTGTCTGTGTGACTGACTGTATGTCTGACTGTATGTCTGTCTCCCCGCCACCAGGAGGGCGGCCCGCGCGCGCTGTACCGCGGGTTCGCCGCCACCATGTGCGGTATGGTCCCCTACGCCGGCCTCAGTTTCTACATCTTCGAGCGGATGAAGTACCTGTGTATGCGCTACCTGCCCACGTACACGTGTAACCCGTGTAAGGAGAACACCGGTGAGTCATGGTACACGTGTAACCCGTGTATGCGCTACCTGCCCACGTACACGTGTAACCCGTGTAAGGAGAACACCGGTGAGTCATGGTACACGTGTGACCCGTGTAAGGAGAACACCGGTGAGTCATGGTACACGTGTAACCCGTGTAATAAGAACACCGGTGAGTGGTGCACGGCACGGGGGAGACACGTGGCATAGGGCAGGGCACGGGCGAGGGAGGGAGGGGGAGACACTAGCCGGACTGCCGAACCCGGACGTCCAGGCTTTCACGGACGGCTCGGCCACAGCCGGCACAGAACGAGGCGGAGCAGGGGCAGTCTATAGGAGCGGCAGGGAAGTGAAGAGGATCCGAGCGCCAGCGGGGCGCTTCACGTCGAGCTACACAGCGGAGCTTATCGCTCTACGAGAGACACACAAATACATCGAGTCCATCCTCACCGATCAAGACCCTGCACTCAATATCCAGCTGTGCACCGACTCCCTATCATCCCTCATGCGTCTGAGGGAGGGCCCGGCCAACCAGACTGAACGGGTCGCTGACCAAGTCTGGCTATCCCTCCGGCGACTAGGACGACGCCACCGCGTGGACCTTCAGTGGGTTCCCGGTCACGCGGGAGTCGCCGGCAACGAGATCGCCGATGCCGTGGCCAGGGAGGCCGCTGAGCTGCCGCAGGACGGGACACCCATCACCTTCGCGGCGGCCAAGAGCCTGCTGAAGCGCCACGTAAGCAGAGTGGGTGGAGACTCCGACCGGCGCCCGCGACCCGCCCGCACCTAAGCCACGACTACCACGATGTCGTCGGCCCGGGCAGGGTCAGGCTGGCAGACAGGCTCGGCCTGTCTAGGAGAGAGGGCACCGCTCTGGCGCGCCTCCGGACCGGCCACTCTCCTGCCCTGCAAGCGTACCGTCACTTCATCGGGGTGGAGGAGGACGATGGGTGCCCGACCTGCGACGGCGGAGTCAGGGAGGACGCGGAACACTTCCTGACGTCGTGCTCCGCGACGGCCCGCGTCCGTCACGACGTTTTCGGGAGAGAGGACCCGACGCTGCGGGAGGTCTTCGCTGACCCATGCCGGGTTATCGAGTTCCTGCGGCGCCTGGGCCGACTATAGAGCGCCCACGGCGCTGGACACTATGGCGGGGTGCTGGGTTCTCCGGCCCTACCCGGCGTCTGAGTCCGCCGGAACCCGTCCGGGGGCCTGCTGCCCTCCCTGCGCGGACGTCGCAAGTGTCGCCCCCGAGGGGGGCTGGGGCCCTCCCGGGCCCCCCATGTGGGCCCACCGGGCCCGACGGCCGGAACGACAACAACAACAACGGACGCCATTTAATTGCGTCCCAGAAAAGCTATTTCTGGCACCTAAAAGCTGACTCGCCCCAAAATTGGTCCTCAGCACCTATTTGGTGGATACCAGCACCAATCATGGAAAATGACCTTAATTAGCTGTTTCTGGCACCTATTCATCGGTACGCCCTACTCTTTTTTCTGAATCTGGCACCTAAATGCTGAGCGTAGCACCAATCTAGTAGAAAAATGAACTACTGGCTGGTAGAATCATGTTGTTCTGGTATAATGACCCCTGGAGTCTAGCCTAAAGGTTGCCAGTGCAGCTACACTCTAACCCCGCGTTTGATGTCTCTCGGACGGTGAAGATTCTACGCCGTCCGGCCAATCACGTTTCATAACCGCAGCCGAGCCCCCGCTGACCTTGGACGGGATTGGCCGGACGGCAAAGAATCTTTGCCGTCCGGGAGACATCGAACGCCGCCTAAGACAGCCCCGTAGTGATCTCAGCATTGTATATGACGTTTAAGTAAGCAAATAATATTGATTTGTTTGAAAAACAATGTCATTTAAATATTTAAAAGTATTTATTTGTAATGCTTAAAGGGAAACATTTTTGTGAGTAATTGTCTCGATTTTGACCATTAAAACGGGTATTGTATTTTTGACGTCATCAAATAGCTCCAAAAAAGAAATGTACTGTTTTCATTCCGTTCAAGGCCGCTGAAGAAACGCGGGATCTTGCGTGGGACATTGTCCGTTGTTTGCCGCGCAGAGTTGTGCCGTGGTTGTGCCTTTTTCATCCGTTTCTTACTTATGTCATATGTGTGCATGAAGCTTTGATTTTGTTTTTGGTTATTGTGTGGCCGGTCAGTCAAACGCCCCTGTAGAAACCGGATGCTGCGTTTGATCGAGATGGAGTCAGACGATGATTGCAGGCCAGAAAGCTAATAATATTGAAAAGAGGGCCGGTTGCGTGGCATGTCTGTTCAGAGTTGACATTTTGCTTTACTCCAGTTTATGACCTGAGAGCCTGGCTGGAAGTGACGGATCCAAACTTTTCACGTTAAAATGGCTGAGGGTGCAATAATCTCTAGTCTCTACATAGCGGGCTGGTATAGGAGCGTCTTGCTATGCTGCACCATAGCTGGCTAGTGATTCTCTTTTGGCTAGAAATGGCATTAATCATTATCTCCACTGGCGAAAATGGCACTTGACATCACCGAATGCAACGTCCATGTTGTTAGGATACATAAAATCAGGAAGATTACGCGAATTAGGTAGGCAAACGTGGAATAAAATAGGTGCTGGATGTTTTGGTTTTGGTGCTGAATCAGCAAACAGCAAATACGGAGTTCAACTAGACGATCTGGCAACTTTAGGCTGTGTGGAAGCAATTAGGTGCCAGATTCAGATATTGGGGTCGAATAAGCATTTTGTGGCTGATCAGCAATTAGGTGCCAGAAACAGCTTTTTAGGGACCAGAAACAAATATTCCCCAACAACAACAAGGGAGGCAGGGTGCCGCTTCACTCGTGCAGCGTGTAGAATACGAGCCCGATATCATAACGCACGTGCCTATATTGTGACTGACGGAGTGAACAGAGGACGGGTGTCTTATTGAGGCGCTCTGAGGGGATAATTTGGATGGATTCTTTGTTTTGAACTTATTCTTTGGAGCGCTCTTGCGAGGAACATTATGAATATTAGAGAGAGAAAATATATGAAAAAATGACCTCTCCTCGACATTTAAAATTATTTGAATGGCCAAATATTTTTGTATTGATATTTCGACCAACAGGTCTTCTTCAGAATAAGACAATGTACACAATTGTACGAGAACGAGAATACAATAATTGATGCAGCAGACTTATTCCCGCGGTTTTCAAATTCAAAAATTAGCGCGGTTTATCTCGCGCTCATAAAACAGTGGTACAACCTTTTTAACAACTTCAAAATATCACAGAATATGCATGAAAACACATCGCTTGACACATCGAGTTCAAAGGTCAACACTCCAAAGTCAAAGGTCAAAGCACTAGGTTCAAATGCCAGACAAGAAGGTCGAGTTCAAGGTTAGAGTTCAACGTATTCATGACCATCAAGGTCAAACCATAGCCAGATAATGTAAATTATTACGGAGCGAGCGAAGCGAGCGTAGTCTTTCCTTAGATTAACGGAAATTTCTGAGTATGAGCGGCCGGCCGGCCGGCCGGCCGGCCGGCCGTGGTCACGCTTTTGCGAGGCTTATATCTCAGCAACCACTTGACCGATTTACACGCGGTAATTTTTGTAGGGTAGCTTCATTCCTTCTACCAAGTATTGGACTATTCCCGATGCATGTGGGTGACCCCTTATGCACGTGCCACGTGCAAAACGAAGAGGTGTCAGTTTTGTAATTGTTGCAATATCTCGGTAACTACTTGGCCGATTGCGCTGAAAGTTGGCATGTAGGTAGGCACCCACTAGGCACTGCATATACATGTGCCAGAGTTGGGGTGCTGCTGCACGTGCGCACGTGCAGGGGTCGTTTCCAGATCTCGAGAACGGCTGAACCGATGGCGCTCAAATTTGGTACACGGTTAGGGACCAGTTAGTAGGGTGCCGTGCACAAGCCAGTTGGGACCCATTTTGCACGTGCGCACGTGCAGGGCGCCGCTCCCAGATCTCGAGAACGGCTGGGCCGATTGTGCTCAAATTTGGCACGTCGCTAGAAACCGGTCAGTAGGGTGCCGTGCACAAGTCAGTTGGAGGTACCCCCTCGAAATTTCGCACGTGCAAGACTCACACCCTCGCTCGCTCCGTTAGTCGCCCCAAAAGGCGCTATACTGGTACAATATACACATATATACAGATCTTCATACACACTGATTGTTCACAAGTCCAGTAAAGCGCATTACAAATTTAGCAATACAAAATTGGCCATAGGGAGCATTTGACATTTCCACGATCACACTTCATACATTTCCAAATCTCTACTCACCCACATTTATATCTACATGATAGGCCATGAGGACACATTTGAGTTGAGCCTTGGGTCAAGCTGCCTGATGAGTAGTGATTCCGCTATTTTGCGGTCAGGATGGTCTCTTGCCCGGTACAAAACTTCAACATCTATGTGTGTGAGGTTGCCTGTAGTCTGTGGGTGACAGGTACGAAAATGGTCTCCTAAGGGTGTATCCTGTTTTTGGCTCGTCATATCACGTAAATGTTCATTGAACCGCAGCCTCAAGGGCCTTTTCGTTTCCCCAATGTACTCCATTTGACCTACATCCGAAGCACAAAGTTTGCAGTTTAGCCTATAAACTACGTTTTTTTGTGTGCATAGTCCGCGAAAATCTGTCTTACATAGATTACAGCTGTTGCCGCCCGGGCATTGAGGTTTGGAAAAGGCCGACCGCACTAACTGTTTCTTTAACTTTTTATCATTACGCCATGCTACTTTCACGTCCAGCCCCGATTTCTTGACCACTTTTTTCACCTTGCATAGCAAATCCTCATCGATGTACGGTAAGGTAAGGAAGCCATCCTCCCCCAACGTCTGTTTCGGTGCCCTACCCTTTGACCTCGCTTGTCTGACCTGCCTTAGAAGTTTTTTCAACAGCTGTGCCGAATAACCATTACCCAGTAGCAATGCCCTAATCTTGCTCACTCCAGATTCTGCCTTACTTGTGCTGGAAGCATTGTTGTAGGCTCTATGGAACATGTTCCTAATCATGCTATGCTTAGTAGCTGAGGGGTGTGCTGAGGTAGCATGTAACACTATGCCCGAGTTCGTTGGTTTGATATACAGTTCCGTCTCCAATTTGGCCCTACCTGCCTGGGATGTCTCGATAGTAACCAAAGTGTCCAAAAAGGGCACCCCTTTGTTATCTTTAGTGAAGTCCAAGGTGAAAGCTAGATTTGGATGTATGCTGTTCAGATAGTCTACAAAGCCTAACAGCGCCTCCTCCCCATGTATCCAAATGCCTGCATAGTCGTCAATATATCTTACCAGAAACTCAGGTTTCAGAGCTGCGTTTCCGAGAGCCTGCTGTTCAAACCTATCCAGAAAAATGATGGCTAAAGGTGGCGCACACGGGTTTCCCATGGCTATGCCTAGTTTCTGCCTATAGTAGCTATCCCCGAACGAAAACACATTATTGTTTAGGCACTGCTCCAAGAGGGCACAAATATCATCGTACGTTAAACCAAAAGTGTCAATATCCTTGCCATGAGCTAACAGTTTTTAGCTAACAGAAGCCATAGAAGCGGTTAGAGAAAAACTGTTAGCTCATGGCAAGGATATTGACACTTTTGGTTTAACGTACGATGATATTTGTGCCCTCTTGGAGCAGTGCCTAAACAATAATGTGTTTTCGTTCGGGGATAGCTACTATAGGCAGAAACTAGGCATAGCCATGGGAAACCCGTGTGCGCCACCTTTAGCCATCATTTTTCTGGATAGGTTTGAACAGCAGGCTCTCGGAAACGCAGCTCTGAAACCTGAGTTTCTGGTAAGATATATTGACGACTATGCAGGCATTTGGATACATGGGGAGGAGGCGCTGTTAGGCTTTGTAGACTATCTGAACAGCATACATCCAAATCTAGCTTTCACCTTGGACTTCACTAAAGATAACAAAGGGGTGCCCTTTTTGGACACTTTGGTTACTATCGAGACATCCCAGGCAGGTAGGGCCAAATTGGAGACGGAACTGTATATCAAACCAACGAACTCGGGCATAGTGTTACATGCTACCTCAGCACACCCCTCAGCTACTAAGCATAGCATGATTAGGAACATGTTCCATAGAGCCTACAACAATGCTTCCAGCACAAGTAAGGCAGAATCTGGAGTGAGCAAGATTAGGGCATTGCTACTGGGTAATGGTTATTCGGCACAGCTGTTGAAAAAACTTCTAAGGCAGGTCAGACAAGCGAGGTCAAAGGGTAGGGCACCGAAACAGACGTTGGGGGAGGATGGCTTCCTTACCTTACCGTACATCGATGAGGATTTGCTATGCAAGGTGAAAAAAATGGTCAAGAAATCGGGGCTGGACGTGAAAGTAGCATGGCGTAATGATAAAAAGTTAAAGAAACAGTTAGTGCGGTCGGCCTTTTCCAAACCTCAATGCCCGGGCGGCAACAGCTGTAATCTATGTAAGACAGATTTTCGCGGACTATGCACAAAAAAAACGTAGTTTATAGGCTAAAATGCAAACTTTGTGCTTCGGATGTAGGTCAAATGGAGTACATTGGGGAAACGAAAAGGCCCTTGAGGCTGCGGTTCAATGAACATTTACGTGATATGACGAGCCAAAAACAGGATACACCCTTAGGAGACCATTTTCGTACCTGTCACCCACAGACTACAGGCAACCTCACACACATAGATGTTGAAGTTTTGTACCGGGCAAGAGACCATCCTGACCGCAAAATAGCGGAATCACTACTCATCAGGCAGCTTGACCCAAGGCTCAACTCAAATGTGTCCTCATGGCCTATCATGTAGATATAAATGTGGGTGAGTAGAGATTTGGAAATGTATGAAGTGTGATCGTGGAAATGTCAAATGCTTCCTATGGCCAATTTTGTATTGCTAAATTTGTAATGCGTTTTACTGGACTTGTGAACAATCAGTGTGTATGAAGATCTGTATATATGTGTATATTGTATAATTTACATTATCTGGCTATGGTTTGACCTTGATGGTCATGAATACGTTGAACTCTAACCTTGAACTCGACCTTCTTGTCTGGCATTTGAACCTAGTGCTTTGACCTTTGACTTTGGAGTGTTGACCTTTGAACTCGATGTGTCAAGCGATGTGTTTTCATGCATATTCTGTGATATTTTGAAGTTGTTAAAAAGGTTGTACCACTGTTTTATGAGCGCGAGATAAACCGCGCTAATTTTTGAATTTGAAAACCGCGGGAATAAGTCTGCTGCATCAATTATTGTATTCTCGTTCTCGTACAATTGTGTACATTGTCTTATTCTGAAGAAGACCTGTTGGTCGAAATATCAATACAAAAATATTTGGCCATTCAAATAATTTTAAATGTCGAGGAGAGGTCATTTTTTCATATATTTTCTCTCTCTAAGATTCTTTGTTTTGTCTATCTGTTGGGCTTACTGAGTGAGTCGGAAGGACATGCAGTGGGAAATATGATGTGCTGCAAAGGTGCTCAGTGTTCCAGGATCGAAAGGCATGCCTTTAGTAGATCCGGAAATCGGAGCTGTAAGCTGTTGCGTCCCTCAAGTTAAGACTCGCTTACAGAGCTCTCTGAGATTGTGTTACATCTTCGAATCTCGAATCTGACTGTCAGGTATTTCATATCCGTAACGTAACCAATGATTCTATAGTAAACTTTTTATCCAAAACTTATTCAAAACAAGTGTTTGGTATTTCAGAAGGAATATTTGATAACTATTAGCTCCCTGTGTCGCCACTAGAATCAATTCATTCATCAAATCACACCGTCCAGTTCACCTCTTACGTCGGCCCTGGTGTCAGCGCCGCTAACCCGTAGTTCCCCGCGCCGCCGCCAGGTGGCCTGGTGCTGGCCGTGCCTGCCAAGCTGCTGTGCGGCGGAATGGCGGGCGCCTGTGCGCAGAGCGTCAGCTACCCGTTTGACGTCACTCGGCGCAGGATGCAGCTGGCCTACATGTCGCCAGAGACGAGAAAATTCGGGTGAGTTGGGCCGGGGACACTCGGCGGGTTGGGAGTGGGGAGGGCGAGTCTCACTCTGGGACACTCACGGAGTCGGGAGTGGGGTGAGGCGGGAGTCTCACTCTCACCGAGTCGGGAGTGTGGTGAGGCGGGAGGGTGAGCTGTGCTCAGAGACTCACTAACTCTGTTAGTTGGAGTGCGGCGAGTTTGTAGGGGCTAGTGAGGCGTGGTTAGAGGAGGCATTGGGGATCGAGTTTTGGTGTGCTGTAAGTGGGCATTTCTCTGTAATGATGTGTGGATTAGTTCGGAGACAAAGGCTTTGGGGTTTGCTGACAGGGAGAGTCTATTATCATTGCAAAATGTGTTTGTTTTAGGTCCGATTAGAGTAAATATTCAACAGATTATAACCAGATGGCTGATGAACAGCTTTTTCATTGTGAGACAATCTGTAAAAAGGTCTTCACCAGACAAATCACGATGTGGTCTCGGAGCGGTGCGTTAAGCTCAGCTCATTTCAGCGGTCATCGTTTAGCGCAGCTCATTCCTGCGGTCATGCAGTCGTTTATCCAGTTGATGTTCACTGGCGCCTTGGCTCAGTTATAGAATACTTGTTTATGCTTAGCTGGTGCTCTATGATATAGCTCCGTTTTTCCTCACGTGCTGAATGTCGTAGTGAATGGTGTTGACGTTTTTCAGGAGCCCAGGGAGCGTCGAAGGTTCAGATAGGGATTTAACGTTCCCGCGTGGATTGTGTTGGTCCTGATGTTTAAATTTGCTGAGGAATCTTTCAAATAGGGATTTGAACACTAACATATCGATTGAACTGCGGGTAATCTGGCGCTCTTGATTGTTCGGGATTGCCTTGAAGAGCCTTACTCCGAGGATATCTGAACTTCTTCTAAATATTTCCCTTTTATGTGCACCGCCTTTTCTACGGTTTTATCATTGCATGCCACCTGGTCATTTTACTTTGAACGCTCCTATCACATCACTCACTTTCAGAATGCGTCTCACTGTCTCTTGTAAACTGTGTCCCCATATCTGTGCTGTATTTCTCTTCCACCGGCTCCTGATCTTCACATGACGGGGGCGCCCGCTCTCTCCCCGCCCCTTGTCACCGCTGAATCTCACGCCATGCCCTGTGTCTGTCAGTCCATGACGTCACTAATGCCGTTTTCTTCTTTCATTCTGGCGCCCCTCTCCGACCTATCACACTGCGGACTACAGCGAGTAAGTGTCATGTCGTGTCGTTAAAATAGCGGCTTGGTTTGCTGGTTAGAATTATGCTGTCTGGTCTCGCTAACAATGCCCATGACTAGGCTGTTTGGCATGCTATCTAGCGCGTCTGGAATGCCGCATGCTTTTGTTCTTGGGCTTACTTATGGGAGGTGTGGTGTGAACGTTTACTCTAACATGTTGTTTAGTACAAACTGATGGTTGGCGTCATATGGACCCTTCTAGTCGTAGTCCAGTCCCTCCCTCTATCTACCGTCCTTTGCTGTGTTTGCATGGGGCGTTTATAAACCAATGTTACAAGTAAACCATTTCGTTTGAATATTACCGGTGTTTTTATAGCATCGGCTATCATAAGTATTCAAACAAAAGTTTAGTAGTGCGTTTTTGTGTTCTGCCCAATTTTCAATTTAGTGTTCTTGTGTATTTATGTTTTATCACGGTGCGACTTTAACCCGCGCGGGGCTGGGGTCTCCAGCCGAACGCGCAGGGCTGGGGGGGGGGGGGGGGGGAATTTTACCCCCGTTATCTCCCGAACTAATGGTCCGATTTGGAAAATTCAAACGCCAATTGAAGGATCTCATCACGAACAGCTAAAAACGTGTACTTTATTTAAAGTTTAAGGTCAAGGTCAAGGTCAGGTCAAGGGTACAAATTCCAAGTTTCTACAGTATCGGCCTTGCACCGTAGTTGCCGAAGAATGGAGTCATGGACTGAGACTGATTGCCCAAAACGTGTGCTTAGGCTACCAAGACAATATTCGTTGCATACAATATCATTCAGAGGTCAAGGTCAAGGTCAGGTCAGGTCAGGTCAGGTCACCAAAAACAAAATATAGAAAAGGGCATGTGCGACACATGTTTTATGGGTCATTTTTTCATAGAATTCAATAGGCTCACTCAATAGGTGATATGGACCACATCTGGATGAATTTCAGGTCGAGGTCAGGTCAAGGTCAGGTCAAGTGAGGTCAAATTTCGAAGTTGGTTGTTAAGGCCTAAAAAGGTGTCTATCTGATGCAGTTTTTCACGGCGAATCGAAAGGTGCTATTTTGTTTCCGTACGAGGTCTAGAAATTCCAAAAAATTCATTTAAAAAAAAAATTGTTTGTCGTGACGTCATAAAATTTTGAATAACTCCCACATTTTTGAACAGATTCTTCTAAAAATTGGTATGTAGGTGCACATGGATCACTTCTCTGACAAATATTCCGTTTTTTATACACGCAAAATTTTGGATTTTATAATTATTTTCCCAAAAAGTCAGTTTTTTGAAAAAATGGGCCAAAATCAAAAATTTTCAAAAAACCGAGATAGCCATTTGATAGACAAAGTAGAATCACGTATAACCTTATTGTTACGTCTTGATTCCCTTAAAAATGAAGATGTTAGCGGCGTTTCAAATTTTGCCGTTTTTTTAGACGAAAATGGCGAACATGACGTCACTTAAACGTCATTTTCTCAAACAATTTCCGAACGATTTCGCTCAAATTTTCAGGGAACGTGTCACATTGATGTAAGAAAAGGTACTGAAAGTTTGGCGGCGCTGCGCGCCGCCGTTTTTGATATATTGCAAAAATTCGCTAGGGTGGTAAAATTTGCCCCCCTTCCCCCAGCCCCGCGCGGGTTAATACGTGCTCATCATAAACATTAAATTAAGAGAAATAACAAAAAGTAGCTGTTGACCATCGAGTATGCACGGAGTTGGGTTTTTGTATTCATATCGGATTGCAGTTGTGCTCATTTTTCATTTGACTTGGATCGTTGTAGATGTTCTGTCGTTGAAGGCATCTGTAACATAGAAGCCAGAGGAAATGCCAGTTTAAATGCACATTGCACGGCATGAGTTGCTGGAAATGCTAACTTAATTGCTCTTTAACCCTCGCCCGTAAACGGCGATCTGCCACCTTCGCCCATGCAGGGGGGGGGGGTTGGTGCGACCCCCCCCTTGGCGTTTGAAAACGGAGCGTCGTAGAGCTTAGCGGAAAAAAACAACGGATTGCTCTCGCCGAGATCTCGCGATTGGTGGTATATTTTTTGGTCCTAGGTCAACATTTGACCTACTTTTGACCGGTCAAAGGTCAAATTTTCGGAAAAATAGATTTTTTTCATTTTTCCGCGGCGATTGCGGCAAAACGGTGGGAGATATCGACTTGAAACCTTCACTATCGTGTTCCTTGATCAATTCTCTATCGTTTGGTATGTATTTCGTTTCCCTAGCTCTAAAAATGGCGCGTTGGGAGCGCCGGAAGTCGGCAAGGTCACAGTCGGCGGCAGAAATTCGAAAAATCAAAATTTAAATTTTTGAAATCTGATTGTATTTTTGGATTTGGAAGGTCCATTTGCTCCCTATAGAAGCTAATATTGCTGCATATTCCCATTGAGGTGACAAGAATTAGCAAAATAGTGGTTCGGGCGCTTTTCAAAAATAGTACCGGACGCTGTTCCTCTTGTGACGTCATAGCTCCGTGACCTGACCTGACCCGGTCAAGTTTCTTATACCATATGATAGCCAATACTTGCCCCAACATGCATGGGAAGTTTCATCACGATCCATCAACCGATGTCCGTACCACCGGCAGGAAACCTCGGGCGTTGGCACTCAGTTTGTGAAAATCCGGCCGGAGGCTGTTCCCTTTGTGACGTCATAACTCCGTGACCTGACATGACCCGGTCAAATTTTTTTTATCAAAAGATGCGCAAGGTTTGCCCCATAAGGTACCCAAAATTTGGCGGCGCTGCGCGCCGCCGTTTTTGCACTATTTCCGAAAAACCTCAGGGGGGGGGGTTGCACCAACCCCCCCCCTACATGGGCGAGGGTTAATTTGCAAATGCTTTAAGTAACTTGTATATAGTTCGCTGCTCTAATAGCTACATAGATTGCCTATTTCTAATCACTTTTGAAAGATCGATTTATCTCTCAATAAGATTTTTATATCCCCTTTGTATATTTGTTTCCAAATGAGGTGGAAGTTTTCTATTTACGTTTCATACAATGCATAGCTATGCTTTTTGATGCATCCGTCCGATGCCTATGGCCCTGCACATTCGGATGATATTGTGTGCCAGATTTGATAGCATTTTTTTATTTGTAATTCAAGTCTTCCCATCTTTCTCATTGTATCGTTTTGCTCACCATGGTGGTAAATCTCCCTCTCCACTTGTATTAAAATAAACTCCATAGTCATGTACGTGATAAAGTCTCCCCGGGCTGGATTTGAACCCGCCTCTCTCTGTTGCAGCATGGGCATGGTGCAGACGCTGCGTATCATCCACAAAGAGAACGGCGTGGTGCGCGGCCTCTACCGGGGCATGTCCATCAACTATCTACGAGCGATCCCCATGGTCGCCGTATCTTTCAGTACGTACGAACTGATGAAGCAGACCCTCCACCTCGACACGGGCATCAAGGTCAAGGTCGGCTAGTGTGACGTCAGTGGCGTCCGGACCAATGGCGAGGCTCGTTCAAGTGTCGTCATCGGAGGCAGAGGTCGCGGGGTAGGAGCGACTGTACGAGCTAGATCATGGGCCAGTGGAACAACAGGGGTCAAACGGGCTGGGTAAGAGTGAACCGAGGAGATGGATCATTGCACGGACCTCTCGGTTTTCTCGTCATTGACCTCTTGTCCAGGGGGCGTAGCTGCTATTCCCTGTCGGTTTACCGAGGTGCTGAACGCCCGGCAGTGTTGGGGTGGGGAGCGGATCGGTTGTTCGGGACGCTTCCATTTGCGTGAATACTCAAATATTATGGAACTGGGGACAGCACTGAGGGCAGGGGAAGAGTTTGAAATAATTTCGGGATAAATGACGCACCATTCTTGCAAAAATCAAAATGACAAAAAGAAACTAATCTTAAAATAATAATTTGCCAATTTCCTTTACTGTGTCACTATTGAAGGAGGCCGAAAACGTATACCGGGAATTTTGAATGTTTTTTTAAGGTACGTTACTCCAGCACGAGTCGTTATCGTACATTTATCCTTGCACCTTGTGTCCTGGGCATGAGCTAAGACTGTCCATCCGCCAGCGGGAGGATGGCCCTCACCTACCCCGCGTGCCAGTGTTATTTATTACCGGGAGCGAGTGGGCGAGACAGATCAAACGCGCACAGCGGACCTACGCCTGTGTCACTCGCACATTGTTACACAATTGCACTACACTGTTGTACTTGTTATATGGGTGCTGCGAATGTTTTTAGTGAGAGATTGTTGGCTCTTTATGGTACGCACTGGTGGGATGTGTCTGTTTTATTGTTTGACTCGCGTCAGACCATTTTGTTCTGAAGTGTTGGAACCGTTTTCTACTAAATGTGTCACTGATTGTGATGTTTGAAAAAAACGCGAATATTTCTCGTACTGCTGTAAAGATCATGGCAAGGCGCAGGCATCACTAAGCATCATCATAAAGATCAGTAAATAAAGGGCAGTCTATGGAAAATGTCACGCTGTGTCACCTTTCATGCACTACAGCCAGTTAAAACGTCTCTTGACATATACCTTTAGGCTAGTCTTTCTCACTTGTTTGCTCTGTTTTATCGTTCCGTTTTGGCCTGGGTGTGGTACATCCGCCCGATTTTACAGATTCCTCCCCTCAAGACTCGTCCACGTTTGCCGCCTGTTTGCTCGACAGTTAAATCACCTTTTGTCTCCATATAACGCTGATCATTACACCAGGGCGAAGCTCAGGGCGGGCTGTTAAGTATCGGGCTGCGACGCCTGGCACGTTTGTGCTTTAGCTCATTAGGGCTTCCCCTTATCTCGTCGAAATGCGCGCCTCTGTGTCCGCACTACGTTTTGATGGCACCATAGCTTTGTCTACTTGTCTATCTAGCCGAGCCGTGACTTTGTGTGGCGGTCACCGAGGTGTATCTGTCCGTCTGTCTGTCTGTCTGTCTGTCTGTCTGTCTGTCTGTCTGTCTGTCTGTCTGTCTGTCTGTCTGTCTATCTGTCTGTCTGTCTGTCTGCGTTTGATTGTGTGTGTCCACCTGTGCCAGTTGTTGCTCACTCTGATCCTACCCACCTCCCCTGTGTACAGTGGGTCTATTTAAGATCTCCATAGCCACCACGTGGCGCTACGGTCGGGGTAGGGCGAGTCCAAATCCCGAGGGAAGTGAGGTCACCGGTCATTGTGGGGGAAGGAGGGAGGGGGAGTGACGCGGTATCACGGCGCATGGGGCGTGCGTAGCGCCGGGAGTGGGCCGCCCAGGGCCGCCCGCCACTGCGCCGAGGCTGAGGGGAGGGGATGATGGTTGCGGGTGCGTTCACTCCGGTATGGTGGTATTCTGTTCATGTGAAACCAGCAAGAATGCGACTGAAGGGAATCATTATCTCAAACAAACGGGCAAGCCAGAGGCAGCGTCAGTTCCAGCCAAAATGTTGAACAATGATAGGTAATTGAAATCTAGGACGCATTCATAGCATGCAACTATTCAGTCGATAGTTGCATGATGCTTTTCATAATGCATGATGAGACTGTTCTAAACTGTTATTTGAGTTAGATATTTTTCATTTGGCAAGATCAGTTTGGCGGGTTTTATCGGGTCGAAAAGAATCAGAAAAGAAAAAAAGATTTGAAATGGCTCCAGAAAAATGTCTAAAAATATGTTCTTAAAAAATGAAACTTTGCTAAACATTTATAAGCGATAATTTTGACTTTTTGAGAGGATATTGGGGAAATATATTCGGGAAAGATGTTATCGTGCTTATCTGTGTTGCAGTAGAAGGAAAGGTTTGGTTCGTGTCGAGATAAAACCAGACCCGGGAGTGGGGCTCGAACTCACGACATCGCATTCAGCTCACAGGTTACCCAACCTCAACGCTACGAGCACCTATCGCCCTGCGCAGCTTTCTCATTGTTTCGGCCACAGTGTCTGACGTCTGTCAATGTCACGAGGCGAAACCCCAATTTGAATATCCGTCCCGGTAACTCGGTCGGTAGAGCGTTGGAATCCATGTGCCATGTGGTGAGAGCGCACGTCCCGGTTGCAAAAGTCCGGGTTCGAAACGCGACGTGTGCTTGACGTTTTTGAGCGGCTCCTGACGGGTATGGTTGTGGTTGGTGGCAGGCCGCTGCCAGGCGAAGTCAGTGAGGGGACCACCGGCCGTGCGCGGCTATGTGCGCACGTTAGAATTTGGACTCTAAATTCTGCCGTAGACCAGGAATTGCTTGATCGGAGGGTAGAGAGCAGGGTCAACGCAACAATCTCAGCTTAGCGGGGACATTGTCCTTGTGATTCCTTTCTTTCAAAAGGTTCGGGCCAAATTTATATTAAAAAAGGGGGAGCCGAACTAGGTTGGGCGGGTTGAACCCGGTTGAACCGTTGTCTTACACCCAATCATGGTCAGCCAAAACAGAGGCTAATTTCGGGTCAAATATTTCTATCAACTGATCTTATTGATTTTAGCTTACACGTATAATAGCTTTTAGCTTTTTAAACTCCAGACTTCATGCACAAAAATGAGGCATTCGTCCACTTTTCCTCATCTTCTCTTAGCGATTTGATTTGACCTTAAATTTGATCTTTTGATTTGATCTTCCTCGCAAAAAAAAAAACACCTGCGTGATAGGTAATTATTTGCCAAAGGGCGCTCTACGCATGAAACACCAGCCGGTCAAAAAACTGGCGAACGATACGATCTTTCTATTGCTTGAATTATATTCAATGAAAATTTCAGGAGACATTGTGGTAGACGCTGCCGCTGTCCTTGCAGGTTCCCCATAACCAGTAGTCCAGCGGGTTGAGGTCAGGACTGTGAGGAGCCCACTGCTTTTCGCTTCCCTTGGTGATCACGCTACAAGCTTTGTTCATGCAAGATGTAGCGCCAACCGCACACGGCCCGAGAGACACTGCAGCTGCTCCAAGAGCTCTTCGGTTGCCGCGTGATCTCCAAGGGAAGCGAAAAGCAGTGGGCTCCTCACAGTCCTGACCTCAACCCGCTGGACTACTGGTTTTGGCTTTTGAGGAGCCTGCAAGGACAGCGTCTATCGCAACAAGCCCGGTAGCCTGAAGGAGCTGCGTGTCAGCGTCGATCAATACGTGCGTGAAGTGACAGCAGGCACCGCGGAGAGGGTGAGCGTCAGCTTCTGGAGCGCGTTTCCGGATGGCCTTCAGCTTAGCGGTGCCCACTTCAAGCACATGCGCAAATAAAGAGACGCACAGATCCCGTTTTTTGAAATGATGATGACAACGTCAGTTCGATTGAAACTTTTCCATAAAATCGGTAACATACAATTTGTCAAACGATTTTCTTTAAGTTGTGAAAGTTTCTTTTTTGTATCTTTTACCACTTTCGAGAAATTACTGCTTAAAAGTGACACACTTTTTTGGCCCACCTGTAAATAATCTTAATCCTTACAGCTACTGGGCACCCGGAGCATTCGCTAGCATTCCATTGCCAGCTGCATTACCAACATCACATTTGCATTGCTTTGGGTTCACCATAGTAGACAGTAGATTAGCCGGCCACAGCAAACCCATGCCTCATTTTCCTTTCCTTCCAAACAGCCAACTGCCAAGCTAACCGGCCCACCACCGCGATATGGAACAACGCTGGAGTGCGCTATTTGCCTACGGCAGTGCCCCACCGCGCCGGGGCTGTTTGACAGGTCACCCGCACCGTGACCTCGCCACCCGCCCCCCCCCCCCCCGCCCACCTCTCCATCGGGCCCAGCTCGGTAGTGACCTCTCCTTGAATCTCACATGGACTCGACTGAGGCTCAACGCCATCTAGTTGCGTCTGGAGATCCTTACTAGATCCACTGTACACACAATGCAAATATTTATTAAGATGTTTGACGATATGTTTGATACGCAAATGGCGCCAGTTTCGCAATTATTGGCCGTACTGAAATTTCTTTCGTCGCCCTGTGTTCTTTACAATGCAATTAGATGCAAAGGCCATTTTTGTCTAGCCAGTTTTATTTTGTAGTCGAGCATCACGGTACGCTGTTGATTGTTTTTACTGCGCATTTGTAGTTTTTTTTTGTCGCTCCCGATTTTAACCACTTGTTCGTTAAAAAAGTTGTTTAATCATTGGTTGCGTATCGGTATAGCACATCTTTAATTATATTATGTTTTGATTGGTGTTTCCTTTGTTGTTGCTGTATTTTTGCTTAGTTTACTAATTATTTTAACCTTACAAAGACCACTGTGTTTCCACCACCAGTGAGCAGTGTGTGATAGCACTGCTCTGGCCTCTGCGCTGTTTGAAAAGCATTGCGCATATGTCTGGTGCTCGATTCAGGAGGCTGGCAATGCTCGCAGTTTGACAAAAAGACGCAGATATAATCGTGTTCTGTCGTTACATCCACCATGACTGGGTTACGAGTCAGCCCCATAGTTACTTTCGATTGTATGGATTGTATGTGTGTGACTGTGTTAGTGATGCAGCGTGAACGAATGTTTATACAGCCGACGATGAGTATATGTACGGCAGCCTCGTGCTGTCATTGGTTGTGGTCTTTCGGGTAGAAAATACACACGCCTGTCTCAAACGCCTGCATTTTCTGAGGTGCGTGGCTTTTGTTAGTCCGTGTTTGGAATAGGCTTCAGTCATCCTAATCCCCTTCATAAGCGTTGCTACTTATTGGGACGGACAGACGACTATTGGGCTCGTGATATCTCAACTGCCACTTCGGCAAGATTTTGCAGACCTCGTTACAAATGTGACAACACATCAGGAACGTTAGGTGGACAGGTGTGTGTTCTTCTTTCGGCTGTTCAACAGCGGCAGAACCTCCTCGTTTTCGTCGGCACTCAAAACCCAAAGAATATCAACTGAATGTTCGTATATTAGGTAACACTGCAGCCGAATTGGACAAACGGGAAAACAAAACAGAGCTGTCGCACCGACACACCATCGGCACGCTCACACACACTCAGCGCCGCGGCCGGCCCCTCAGGAATTGTCCCGTCTAGCTATGGTCGCGCTCAGTCTGCTCTGGTGACTCCGTCAGCGCTGCCACTGACAACACGAGCATGGAGCTGCAGCTTCGGACACATTTTCGGCTCCGGGAATGATAAAAAAACAACGCATCAATTCCAAAAAGTTTCCAACGTAACAAATAACAGCGGGGCGAAAATGCTTCCTTGCGGTACACCATGCGTGCGGCGCGATGGCGACCACGGATGTGTGGCGTGGGCCAAACAACACCGTGATCACCGCGCACGGGAGCGATAGAACAGAACTGAGGCGGGCACTGGCTCAGCGGACACTCGTCCGGGTCAGCGGGGCGGCGCATTGCGCTGACACGGCGCAGACATTCACACACAAAGTTTGCGCTTGGTTTTCACAGACAAGTCTGATGGCATTGTTGGGACCGCGGTGGGCCCTATTTCACAACCTTACGCTCTCTGCTAGCCCTGGCGCACTGAGGGTTATCATCACACGAGACTGTACACTCCTAAACCACATCAGAACACAATGGCGTCACTCACATCCACTCCACGCACAATCCCGACTAGTTCAGGCCGTGACCAGCACCCATTCCACCCATTCCGGAGCCCATTCCGGCCACACGGCGCCAGCGCCATTTCACAGGTGACCGGATGCCCACTCGTCGCAGCTTTCTGCCAGAATCTCAGCGCGAGACACTCCCGCTTACACAGCGCAACCTCAAATATAATACACAGTGTACACGGGGTTAGGCTCACAACGGCCGACCGAGACTGGACAGAGTCATCGTGTCGAGAAACACTTCAATCACACAATCTGGACAATCGCTCAAACAGGTGTATCATGCAGCGAGCCTTCTTATCGGTCACGGACAACTTACACACTGACTGAAGAATTTTGAACACAACACCGCCAGGACCATAGATCTCAGCGGGCTGAAGCATGTGCGTGGACCAAACACTATGCACTGGGACTCTGGTAACTGGACTGATCATGGGATCATGGGAATTAGACAACATAGTTTTCTGGAATGGATTGCGATGGTTGTTACGATGAACTAACCCAACGCTTAGAATATCGAGCTTAGAATGTCATCACTAGTCAAGATCAAGCATAGCATGTTTGCAAGCCTCCTGGTAAAACCAATAACCACGCATCATCCATGATTCTAAGAAACGCCTGAGTAGCAGGCTACGATATCTAGCAATTCAGCCTCCTTGGACGATGCCCGGCGGCATAAATCGTGAACAATAGAACATGCGACAAGGGCCAGACGAAGCATACCAAGTCACACACACTGAGGCCAAATGGCTCCCGTTAGAGTGATACCGCGCTACGTTAGTCCGTTCAAAGGAGCGCCTGCCTGGCGTCTTCGGCTCTCTCTCTCTCTCTCTCTCTCTCTCTCTCTCTCTCTCTCTCTCTCTCTCTCTCTCTCTCTCTCTCTCTCTCTCTCTCTCTCAAATTTGTAATCGATAAGATTACCCAGACAAACCAACCGTCTCTACACCGCCCATACTTCTGAGGTGCCTCCTCTGACTGCCATCCTCCTACTGTCCCTTGGATCCCCTCCGAAACAACTGACCAGAGGACCCTGTATCACCTACCAGACCATACCAGACAGTCGCACGCTTGACTCTTCTGGAGTTGGCTCTGGTCGCTCCCTATACATGTCCCTGGGGCCCACTGAAGTCTACTTACGGGCTAGCGACATGATCACAAAGCTTGTGCGGGGAGTTCCTAGTGCACCAAGGATCTATGGGTTGGAAATCTGTCAGAATATTCCGAAGGCTAGTGGAATGTGTCAACAGGAGCGTGCCGGATAAGACGTGAAGAGCAGTCTGCTGTCATGACTCGAGAAGAGCTCCTGGACGCCTGGGGAGGTGTTCCTGGATGCCTGGAGATGAGCTTTTGGCTGTCTGGAGAGAGGTTAGAGGCTCAGGAGTTGACATTCCTGGAGAAGAGGAGGGACGGGTGGGAGGAGTATTATGACGAAGGAAAGGTTGCAGTGCAAGTATCTCAAGCTAAAACACCTGCTGCCGGCGGAGACTGCCGCACTTCCGTACCACCCGGAGAGCAGCTCAGACGGACCACAGTCACTCGGTGGCAGCGTCTAAATGGTGGTAGTCTCAGGACTGTAAGGACTGCCGAGGTCTGGCTCTGAGGACGCAGCCGGGCGGGCTCGAAGTAGAGTTGCCCCATGATGTACTGGACGAACCCAGGGGACAGCGACAAGCGTCTGCCGGAGAAGAAGTCCAGCGCACCAACAGGGTACTGGCAACTTCGTCTGGCTGACCAGCTAGCTAGGAGCCTTGCTCAGACAAACTGTTGCGCAGCTGTACCTTACCCTCCCTATCTTTAGCTACCGAGGAAACCCTCAAGGTCGAATGACCAACCACTAGGCTATGCTAGGACCATGGTAAAAGCTACTGGAGAATGTTTACCAGGAAAAGTGAGTAGATGCCAGCAAGTGGAATATAAATAGTTACAACAAAACGTAGTGGAATGCTCTGTGTGATCCCGGAAGAATGTTTTTAGATATTGCATTGTAAGCACATTGGGTACATGTGCTTACAATGAGTGTACCTATTATGGAAAATGAACAGAAGGCCTGCCATTGAACATTGAACAAACAACTTCGCAAACAATCGCCAATGCAGGCCAACCAATAAAATATCGCAGACATAAAACGAAACCATTGAGCAAACGTGAAAACGGAGGCTGCGAGAACAACATCCGTAGCAGGATACTCGGGAAACCCCCGCAGGTGCTACCTGCGGCGCGGAGAACCCCGGGAAGGTGCTAACTGCGGCGCGGAGAACACCGGGAAGGTGCTCCCAGCAGAACACAGCTGAGCTCCGGCAGCGGATACCTCCACGCCGCCATGGCTGAATATTTTCCTAAACCTCGGCCGTCTGCCGGGGCGACACCTATCGGCCGTCTGCATCACTCGATCTTCTTCATGTTGCCGGTGGAGGCGCTGCGCGCCGGCTTTTTGGTCAGGTAGGACTTGTTGAAGAAGTGGGCGAAGAGGACAAAGTAGCTGAAGTACATGATGAGCGAGAGTTTGATGTTGAGCACGGAGACCTCGCACTCGCCGCCGTTGGACTTGACGTGGTAGGCCCACAGGTTGACCAGGCAGCCCACGATCATCTGCGCCAGCTGACTGCTAGTGATGGCCACAGAGATCCACCTGAGAAAAAACAACGGCGGCGGAGTGACGTCAGATGTGATCGGAATCGCGGTGAAGTACAGTCAGAGCTGGGGAATGGCGGGGAATACCGTCAGACCCGGCTTTTCGGGGAGGGGGATGGGGATAGGTACAGTCAGATTTGGCCGAATTAGCGGGAAATACGTGAGCTCTAGGAAATGCTGGAGAAATTACCGTGCGATGTGGCGGAATGATATGAGCCTACCGTCAAAATGACAAAATGAAACAACTTTACTTATATTGGACTAATAGCTGCACATCTTACGCTTGGTCATCAACGCTACCATTCTAGAACGTGACGTATAGCCTAGATCAAATATCATTTAACAGGCACATTGCATGCAGGCATACCAGACCACAGACCAGAGAGCCCGCGCCTGGGGTGGCCCCGGGCTCCAGCAGCAGGGAGCTCCATCCCGTAATACCCAGGGGATTCAGTCGCGGCGGGATGCCCATTAGCTCTGTTCATTATTGGTCTAATCTAATGATAGTTAATGGCAGAGGGATTCGAGCATACGGCTCTTTCGCCTCAGGGACTGGGGTCGCCTCCGAAGCTGGCGCGCCCTCCGAACAGCACATTGGTCGTCACTGGATGCCGGTTCCTCCTAAGATGCGATGAGCACCTACAGGATTTGACGTTGGCTTGAAATCAACCACATCGTGTGCGATTCTAGCATTCATCCTGTCCTAGTTTTCACTATACAGCACTACTGATCAATGTGTCGGGCCATATTTAAAAAAACGCAACCAATTATTTCGGCTGAGAATCCTGATCCAGCGTCCTCGTTCTCTGTACCCGACCAGGGAACGTAGTAGGCATCTGCGAGCCTTGAAGGCATAGAAGCGAGTCCCGCGACCAGTTGCCGCTGATGTAGCTGGTGCCACACTTACCTGGGGACGCGGTAGCGGAGCGCCTTGAAGGCGTAGTAGCTGTACATCATGGCGTGAACCGAGTAGTTCATGCTGATGAACCAGCGGCCGGTCACGATAAAGTCCGAGAAGCTGCGGCAGAAGAGAACGTGACCGTCAGCGGGACGTCAGGCGTGATCAGTGCCAGGGATATATTACATGATGCAGTCACGTCACACATGAGGAGTACATCGTTACAACTTCAAGATCGCATCTCGATCCAGTAGGTCTCAGCAAGCAATTGTCTTCCTGCTGGTCGCATCTAGAAATGCTGGCTCCTCAAGTCTCTTCAGTTCGTAAAGTGAACTCGTGGGGACTACTTCCTTCTCAGGAATGAAATTCCAAGGAAATAAATTTTCTACCTGCTGGTCGCATCTAGTAATGTTGGCTTCTCACGTCTCTTTAGTTCGTAAAGTGAACTCGTGGGACTACTTTTCCTCCAAGAAACTGCCTCTGCGTCGCCATTTGCCTCCACCCCATGGATAATGAAGAGCGCCATCCCTTCGCCATTCGTCGCTGCCCGTTCCCGTCAACTATCCAGCCTCCCAGGCGTGGGATCCGAGGGTCATGTTTTATTCAGTTGGCGCAGGTGTGGGAATACCGGACTACCGGGAGACCAGTGGGGGAGCCTGACCCACGGGCCACGCCACTAGGTCGCCCGGCTAGACGGCGAGGAAGTGACCGGTGTCCAGCCGCTCAGTTCAGGGCAGCACTGGTAGTGTGAGATAAGCACAACCACATGTGGTTGGAAATCCAGTGAGTGGCTTTTGAAGACGCTTCGCCACCCTAGCGACCATTGAGGCAGTCGACTCGGCTGGCATCTCATCGGTCTCTTCAGTGTGACAGTGGTTCCAAAGGAATAACACCAATGATCTCAGCACTTAGCGGGCTTCCCAATGCCTATCCCCACTACCGCTGTTCGGTTCAGACCTCAGGCTCTGGACCAGTTCAGCCCAGCGCACACCGCTCAAACCCAGTTCAGCTCGCTCAGCTATCCCTCGACTGCTCGGTGGAACCGGCCGTCCCGAGACCGACGCCAGGCCAGGGCGCGCTGCCGACTCAGCGCTGCTGAGTGCCGAGTCAGCGCCGGCCGGTCACCGGGGCAGGACCGACTGACCACCGACGGGCACCGGTCAGCGGTCGGACTGCTGACCAAGGCCCCAACGCAACACGCGGCTGGAGAATGAATTCCACCATCTCTGAAAGAGTTTTCAATAAAATTTCCCACTCTTTCCCTGTCATTCTCTCCTTCCGTCCCCCGTATCTACAGCCACTTCAATTCAGGCCGCTCACAAGTGATCTCTGTCCCAGTTCTTTGGCTTACATGTCCCGGGGCCATTTGGAGCGCTAGCCCGCGGGCCTTGGGGGCATTGGTGCGCGGACCGGCAGCCCTGCCCGGCAACCAAACACCGCTGTCCCAGCAAACGCCCCCTCCCTCCTCGCGCCATCGATCGGGAGGGGGCGGGACGGCAGCCGGCCGGTCTGCCCATGGGGTCAGGCGGCACACCAATGCACCGGGCACCCCCAGTCTCCCAGGGATCGGCAACCGGCCGGTCTGCCCATGGGGTCACTCGGCACACCACTGCCCCGGGCGCCCCTAAGGATCAGCAGTCTGTCCATATGGCCACACGGTCCTGGAGGAGGGTCCTGGAGAGAATCCTGGAGGGTCTGCCCATAGGGTCACACGTGACCGACCCCAGGAAGGTCAGAAGCAGGGAGCATAGTCATACTCATCGAGTGACTCAACCGTCAACTCAAGTGTTTTGCTGAAGGAACAGTTATCTCTTTATACGAAACACACCGGGGCTGGTAAGGTCATCATGGAGACCATAAACTCATTGTTTGAGGTCACTTTCATTCCCTGGAGAATCACTGAGCTAGCCGTGCGGCCAGACAAGCCAGTCGTCTGTCAGACATTCAAGATTTACGGAACCACGTTCCCTAAATGGACTACCGCTGCCTCAATTGACCCATTGGAACGAAGAATTGGCTGAATTGGACGAATTGAACCGAAGAACCAAGAGACGGCGGGTGCGTGGGTCTACTGCCGGCGAGACATTCGACTGGTGCCGTAAGGAGCAGTGAGTGGGCCATGAACTAGGTACGTCCCTGAGAACCACAGGGGATAATGTAGCCACATTTTGGCTGCACGGCAACGAGTCGGCCCACCTTACTTTCTAAGACAGGTCACCTGGTCTGGCAGAGATCACCACAGATTTTCATTCCCAACTGGTTGTTTTTTTTTTTAGACTGAGCCGCATGACCAAGTAAATGATTAATTTATGTGACATATTATTATTCTCTATACGGATACCTTGTCTGGTCGCCGCAGGCGCAGCCCCCCAACTAGCCGGGAAGCCCCTGGTTGCCAAGACGCACCCGCCCACTGGTCCCACGTGGCACGCCCCGGTACCCCGTCCTCCCCCCCCCCGCACCGCGATTGACCTCTGACCCCGACCTTTGGTATGTGTCATGTGTAGCGCCGCCGGTGGGAGGGGGGAGGGGGAGGGTGCGGACGTCCCCTGGCCGACAGTCAGGCGGGCGGCGGCGACCAATCAGAGGCCGGCACGCCGTGACGTCACAGTCTCGCCTCTGATATCGATTACATCAGAGCTGTTCCCCCCATCGCGGGCCGGCGGGGAGGGGAGGGGAGGGAGCCGGATGTCTCCAGCGGGACCGGCCGACCGGTGCTGTCCCGAGGCGCGGCGCGGTCGGACGGACCTACCCCAGGCAGGAACATGGGGAGATCAGAACAATACGGAACGCTGATTTTCTTCAATGAGTATAATTGATGTCCGGATGCACTTCCACAGAAACATTATTTGAAAAGAGAACACTATCCATCGATTCCTTGGCCCAGTCTTTTTTCTGTTTTCCTTTTCACTCGCAAAGCCTGAGTTATTACGCATTGATCCGCTCCTAAAGAAGGTGCCTCAATAACAATACGACTTCTGGCTCGACGCCATACCTCTGGTCAGCCTGCATGAGTGACCCCTGTCCTCCCCCTCCCCTCCCCTCCCCACCCGACCTCGGACCCATCTATCCGGTTCGGTGGCTCATCAATTGCAACACGCCGCCGCCGCCGCGACACCGCCACTGTTGCAACCGGACCGGGCACAGCGCGGCCTTGACCCGGTGCGACACCCGGTCTGCGCAGTGTCGACACCCCTCAGCGGCCTTCACAGGGGGCACACGAGGGATGACACTGCGAAAACGGGCCATTATGCAGGACAGCCGCCTCGACACCTGCGGAGGCCATCAGATCGGAACGACGGAAGACATTCCACAGAGACATGTCTATTAAATGGGGCCTCGCTTCAGTGCAGGCGCAATGGCGGATCCTTGCGATACGCCGCGCGAGTCTGAATGAAAATCATAGACGGCAGATGGCCGTCTTGTCTGCAAGAAGCTGCGTAGCGCTGCACGGACAGCAATTAGCACATCCAAGATCCAGCGTGCAGGCCAAGGTGAGGAGTGAGGACGCTCAGAGAGGATTCCCTTCGGTGGCTGCCCAGTTTCGCAAGCCCGATTTCGTGCTCGCCAGACCGCGAAAAGTGGCGGCGATGACAGCGTTTGCACGATAGATCGGTGCAGATCATCCCGGTCCCTCGACTCCGTAACGGTGAGAACACGGCCTGATGTGAAACATGGCTTGCAACACGAACTATGGCAGAGCGCATGGTCTCGTTACGAAAGGATGCTTGTGAGAGTGGCTGTGCGCTGATGGTTTTGAGGCGTTTGGACTGGTTACGGGTATTGGCGTTCAGACGCCCACGCTACTGACGTATAACCTTTCGGGTCGTTGCCTTTATGCCTTTGCTGAGTCTGCTGCTTCAATTAGTTGTTTCGAAGTCAAATAAGCCATGTAAGTCCATCGTTAGAAGTCTAAAGCCGGCTTAAAGTTGGCTTGCTAGTCACACTTGTGTACTCATGCAGCTCATCCAAGAGCGTGACCAGCCGCCGACCCGTCCCGACTGGATGCTAAGGGCGCCATTAGTCGTCGGCCAGAAGTGTTTTTCAATGTTTGCCCGGCGCGCCATCACGCAGTGTTTTTCCATTTGAAGCTGGCCGACCATGAATTCTCAACCGCCCTCCGCGTGGGTAAGGCGGTTCCTTATTTTCCGCCTCGTAACAAACCCGAAGATGTTATAGTGGGTCAGTGTCGTGGGTACTCCATGCTCACTAATCTGCTGCCCTTCTGGCAGTTCTTGTCGCTAAGGATGGACGGGGATGTTATTGGAATCGGTGTTTTGCTTAAGAAAAACCTCGTGACCCTTGCGATTTAAAACTCATAAAAATACATTAAAACAATATTTCATGATTATTTCTTAGCATATTTGCAAAAAGGAGCATTTACTCTGAATTTAGGTAACTGAATTACCAATACAAAATCATGCAAAAGCCTAATTAATAGTTGCCAACTAATACAGCCATTTACGTTTACATTACATCTCGCATAATAGCCCTGAAAGCTTTTACACTGATCACCATACAGCTAGATAAGTTTCAGATATAGACCAGATAAGCCAGTACTCCCGACCATTGACCACGTCCTAAAAACAGCCCCAATGTCATCAGACGCGGTCTTTCGCTGCGGACATATTCCATTTCTGTCCCACAAATAGCTTCGTGCGACGAGCTAGCCGGCGTTGCCATGCCAACGGCGTCAGCTGAGTCCGCGGCAATCCATACCTCCGGCGGCAGGTGCTCTGAGGAGATCTCAGCAAAGATGAGGCAGCTGAGCTCTCAGTCGGCCAGCCAGGTTATAGGGACGCCAGGAAAGGAGACCTTTGACATTCGGCGTGCTCATATCTCAAGAAATCCCTAATTCGACGATGGTGATTGCAAGAGCTTCTTCAAGAAACCATTTTGGAGGTAATACACCTTTCAGGAACATGTCATTGGCGATTGTTCGTATGTGTCGCCCGACTGGCCTCAGCCGCGGTGCCCGTTTGGAATCAATCGGGCGCATCATCTGCCACCTGCAGGGTCATCTGACCGACCGGCCCCAGTTGAGCAGCCCGTCTCAGCAGTCAGGGTCGCCGGGCCGGCACCCAGGGTCGCCGGGTGGGGTGTCGTCTGCATCGGAGGTC